TGTTTCTTTAGTCTTGTGCCTGCTTTGCACTGTTTGCAACTCTGCATGTCGGCTAGTTGAATGTGCTTGTTGATTTGCTGCAAGACAGGTGCTCTGCTGCCTGAACTACAAAGTGCAAAGCAGGTGAGGGCCTGCCAAGACCGGGAACACACCCCCCACCCCTCCCCCGTTTTTTTTTGTTTTGGTCCGGACGTTTCGCACCCCCTGACACTGGTCTGGACTGTTCGGGTCCGGCGATGTCCGGGTGTCTGGTGATGTCCGGATCACCGGACAGTCCGGACCGGTCCAGACACTAGTCCGGAAGACAGTCCGGAAGTGTCTGGTGTCCAGGTCCGCAGTTACCATGGGGTGGACACAGTTAGTTATGGTGCAGAGACCCTGAGACGACATCATTGATTACTTCCAAAAGGGAAGGACTTACCACCACTCCACCCTTCCTGTTGATCCTACATTCCTCGGCTTGTTCCAGAGCTAAGTCTGTTAAACAACTTAAACTCCTCTCAGCCCTGTTAGGCATTCTGATATCCAGATGTTCTAGAGCTAGATCAGGCATGTCTTCGGAGTGTAGATCATTCTCCTGAACTCTTGACCACCTGCGTTCCCCTCTCTTGTCTCTTTTAGAACGTATGCTCAACCCTTGTCGGGGTTCACGTTGTCCTTTTCTTCATCACCATTGTTGCCTGTGGTTTCCTGGATTAATACGCTCTGAGCTCTCCTTATTGTTCTCCATCCAGATCTATGAGTGTGTTTCTTGCCGCAAGTTTGAATATGTTTGGCAATTGATGTGAGCCCAAGGCATGTGAGATTAATTCCATCACTCTACTCTAATTGGTTGTTCCAACCATTCTCTTAAAGGTTACCCTCTCTCGCATTATGCCCTGCAGATTTGAGGCGAATCTTGTAGTTCTGACTGTTCTGTTGCCATACTGTCCCTGTCTCATATTGACTTGCGCCCCTCCATCTCGATAGCTATCTGAGACAATCAGTAAAAGTGTGCTGTTGGTTCAAGCAAGATAGCTTTTTCTTCCTTCATCCATGCGCAACTAATCTCTGATATTATCGTAGCACACCAATCAATGCACTTTACTAAGTTACTTCTCCCAGTAAACACCACTTTTCTTCCCCTCACCCTGCTGGCACTGTTTCCCTTCGTCTTCAGGATAGCCATCTGCAATTCTGCTTCCTACTGTCTTCACCGGAATAGAAGGCCCAGTCATTACAGCTGCATTTGGGCCATGTTGCAGTCCAGATACAGCGATCATGAACAGGTGTTCTATTTAGGTGAAGACAGCAGTTGCAGCTACCAAGCATGTTGCTTAGTGTGTGCTTTACAGGATAGTTCAGTCACTTTGTAACGCGGCAGTGCTCTTAGATGCCACATGATCTTCCCATGTTTAGTGACTTAAGGACGACTACTCGTAGGGAACATTTGAAGTTCTTTCGTTAGGGCTTCTTCAGTCTTGCGTCTCCCATTGGCCATGCAACTTGCTCACCGTCTTTTACAGAAGAGTTCAATTACTAGGCCAATGTTTAACAAGGTCCACAAACTCATTCACTGTACTCCTCTCACTTGGATGCCACACGATCTTCTAATGTTCAGTGACTTAAGGATGGCTACTTGTAGTGAACACTTTCAAACTCTTTCAATAGGGTTTCCACAGGCTTTTGTCTCTCTCATTCGCCATGCGATGTGCTCATTGTCTTTTACAGAAGAGCTCAATTACTAAGCCAATGTTTGACAAGATCCACAAACTCATCCAATGACTTTGACTCCCTGCACAGTGAGTGCGCACCGCTT